ATTCTTGGTACAGGACCGAGGTGCCGGTCGTGGCCATCGTACAGCTTGCTTTGGCTACATGATCGGATCGTCATAAAACACACGAAAGAAAAAAAGCCTCGTTTTCGCAGCGACAGTGAGGTTCGTGGTGGGAGGGAGCATCAGAGTCAGAAGCAGCGTTTGCACAATCAAATGTCCCAATGGAATGAGGGACATAGGGTTTAATCATTCAGTACAAAAATATACACGTACATCTTCTTGCAAACCCATTGTGCTGTGTGAAGGGAATCTGAGGCAATTTTCTGGCCGGATTCCATGTTGTTGCTGGCCAGTGCTAAGCCGGCACGGGGCCTGTCTGCCTGCCCTTGTCGTTTGAGCGCGCGCATGGCATTCTGTGTGTGCGTCGCCCTTCTTGCTGCGCACACTAAGACACTGTCAGAAGCCTCTCTCTTCTGTAGACACCGCCGTCCTTTCGGATGTCACCCTCGCTCCCTTCCCTCATCATCTCCTAATACACATCATGTTGCGCAACACTATGCGCCAGTGCTCGCGGAAGCTGCAGAGCTATCCAGCGAGGAGCCTATCCACATTGGCTGCAGCGCCCTCGAGAACAGCCATCACCAGCTGTCGCAGGCCACTTGCGCTTGCACCGCGCCGCCACTATGCCATTGCTGCCGAGGACACCAACAAAGGCGTTGTAGGTCTACTTTTGTACTGTTGTACTGTTGTACTGTTGTACTGTTGTACTGCTTCGCGGACCGAGGCGCTGAGCCCGCATAGGTGCACGCAGACGAACACAGCTAACCGTGGCCGCACAGGACCCCAACGACTCCTTCTTGCAGGGCAACACTGCCAACTATGTCGATGCCATGTACATGCAGTGGAAGCACGACCCCTCCAGCGTGCACATCTCATGGCAGGTCTACTTCCGAAACATGGAGTCGGGCGACATGCCCGTCTCCCAAGCCTTCCAACCGCCGCCGACCATCGTTCCCACCCCAGAGGGCGGTGCCCCCGACTTCAAGCCAGGCATGGGCATGGCCTCAGCCGAGGGATCCGATGTCATGAACCATCTCAAGGTCCAGCTGCTTGTGCGCGCCTACCAGGCCCGCGGCCACCACAAAGCAAAAATCGATCCGTTGGGCATCCGCTCAGAGGCGGAGCAGTTCGGATACAGCAAGCCGCGCGAGCTTGAGCTCTCCCACTACAACTTCACTGAGAAGGATCTGGACCATGAAATTGAGCTCGGCCCAGGCATCTTGCCTCGCTTCAAGACGGAGAGCCGTAAGAAGATGACGCTGAGGGAAATCATTGATGCCTGTGAGCGGCTGTACTGTGGCTCCTATGGAATCGAGTACATCCACATTCCGGACAGGGAGCAATGCGACTGGCTCCGTGAGCGCATCGAGGTCCCCACGCCTTTCAAGTACTCGGTCGACGAGAAGCGCCGCATCCTGGATCGTCTCATCTGGGGTACCAACTTTGAGGCCTTCTTGGCCACCAAATATCCCAACGACAAGCGCTTCGGTCTCGAGGGGGGAGAAAGTTTGATTCCTGGTATGAAGGCTCTAATTGACCGCAGTGTCGATTACGGCGTCAAGGATATTGTCATTGGCATGCCCCATCGTGGACGTCTCAATGTGCTCTCCAACGTCGTTAGGAAACCCAACGAGTCCATCTTCAGCGAATTTGCCGGAACCGCTGAGGCGGGAGATGAGGGCTCTGGTGATGTCAAGTATCACTTGGGTATGAACTTCGAGCGACCTACACCTTCTGGCAAGCGTGTGCAGCTCTCCCTGGTCGCCAACCCCTCTCATCTTGAAGCCGAGGACCCCGTGGTGCTTGGAAAGACCCGCGCTATCCTGCACTACAACAACGATGAAAAGGAAGCTGTCAGTGCTATGGGCGTTTTGCTCCACGGTGACGCAGCTTTCGCTGGCCAGGGCATTGTGTACGAGACCATGGGCTTCCACCAGCTTCCCCAATACCACACTGGCGGAACGATTCACATCATCGTCAACAACCAGATTGGTTTCACCACTGACCCCAGATTCTCTCGTTCGACGCCTTACTGTTCCGATATCGCCAAGGCTATTGATGCACCCGTCTTCCACGTGAATGGTGATGATGTTGAGGCTCTCAACTTTGTCTGCCAGCTTGCTGCCGATTTCCGTGCCCAATTTAAAAAGGACGTGGTTATTGACATGGTTTGCTATCGTAAGCAGGGACACAATGAGACGGATCAACCCTTCTTCACCCAGCCCCTGATGTACAAGAAGATCGCACAACAACCGCAGACCCTGGACATTTACACCCAGAAGCTCCTCGAGGAGAAGACCTTTACCAAGGAGGATATCGATGAGCACAAGGCCTGGGTATGGGGCATGCTCGACGAAAGCTTCAACCGCAGCAAGGACTACACACCTACCGCAAAGGAATGGCTCACATCAGCATGGAATGGTTTCAAGTCGCCCAAGGAGCTTGCCACTGAAGTTTTACCGCATTTACCAACCGCAATCGAGGAGTCGCAACTGAAGCACATCGCCGAGAAAATTGGGAGTGCGCCAGAGGGCTTCAATGTGCACAAGAACCTGAAGCGTATTTTGGCTGGCCGCACCAAGACTGTTGTGGAAGGCCAGAACATCGATATGGCTACCGCGGAAGCATTGGCTTTTGGATCTCTCTGTATGGAGGGCCACCACGTTCGTGTGTCCGGCCAAGATGTCGAGCGGGGAACTTTCTCACAACGTCACGCTGTTCTCCACGACCAGGAGAATGAGCAAACGTACACCCCACTGCAAAATCTCACTGAAGATCAAGCGACCTTTACTATTTCCAACTCGTCGCTCAGTGAATATGGCGTGTAAGTCTCCCAGAACTCCCCCCCCCCCCCCCATCCCCCCAACACTGCAGCTAATGCTGATGATTCTAGTCTCGGCTTTGAATATGGTTACTCCTTGTCTTCGCCCAACGCACTCGTCATGTGGGAAGCCCAGTTTGGCGATTTCGCCAACACTGCACAGGTCATCATTGATCAGTTCATTGCGTCTGGGGAAGTCAAATGGCTTCAGCGATCAGGTCTTGTTATGAGCTTGCCTCACGGTTATGACGGCCAGGGTCCAGAGCACTCGTCTGCACGTATGGAGCGCTACCTACAGCTCGTCAACGAAGATCCCCGTATCTTCCCATCTGCGGACAAGCTCGACCGTCAGCACCAGGACTGCAACATTCAGATTGCCTACACGACCAAGCCTTCGAACCTGTTCCATCTCCTCCGTCGTCAGATGAACCGTCAGTTCCGCAAACCTCTCATTCTGTTCTTCTCCAAGTCCCTACTTCGTCACCCTATCGCGCGTTCCAACCTTGAGGAGTTCACTGGCGATTCGCACTTCCAATGGATCATTGAAGACCCAGCGCATGCGAGCGGCGAGATTGAGTCGCATGAGGGTATCAACCGTGTTATCCTCTGTACCGGTCAGGTATATGCTGCGCTTGTCAAGGAGCGTGAGGCTCGTGGACTCAAGGACGTTGCCATTACCCGGCTTGAGCAGCTCAACCCCTTCCCATGGCAACAGCTGAAGGAGAACCTCGACTCGTACCCCAACGCACAAAACATCATCTGGTGTCAAGAAGAGCCTCTCAATGCGGGTGCCTGGAGTTTCACGCAGCCAAGAATTGAGACTCTACTGAACGAGACCGAGTACCACAACAGGAGGCACGTCATGTTTGCAGGACGCAACCCCAGCGCATCGGTCGCCACTGGTTTGAAGAACTCGCACAAGAAGGAGGAGAAAGATCTGCTCGAGATGGCTTTCTCCGTCAAGCAGGATAAGCTCAAGGGCGAGTAAGGGTGGTATCATGTGCATGCTGTCTTGATGATTTGCTCGTGCTACTCTCTAGCCGGTTATGCGATGCAGTCTGATTTTTATTTCAAAGTACCTTGACCAAGGGACTAAGCGAGTGGTTCCTCTGATTGCGTAGGGTATGGTTTTCATATTGGCTGTACATTTGCATAAGCTGGAGTGTACGTATACGAAGTGTGTTCGTGTAAGAGACACCGTCTGTTTCCCCCTTCTGCCCTGAACTTTGACCGTGTCCTAGGATGCGCAGGTTGTCTTCGGGGAGATGTGTGCCGAATAATCGCGCGCCATTACTGTATGTTCCTGCGCCAGCATGTAAGCCATCGGTCGTTTTTGGTTTGTGACGGGATAATTGTCCAGCGCGTCTGTTCCGTATCCATCCGTACAGGCTCACGATGCCTTTCCTGAAGTCCCTCGCTGGCAATTGGGGTGAGAGAGGGGGCCATATGGACAGTGTGCATGGCCATCGTACTGCGCCGTCGAAATGCCCATGTGGAGCTGAGACTGGATCGTGATAGGAGAGCATTCTCGTTCCTACCGAGTTCATGATTCGCGCACAGCCAGAGAGAATGTGACGCTGGCGCTGGCTGGCAATGCGATGAGGGGAGGGTACTTGGTGTGGCGTATTAAATCCGCGGGCCGGAATCTTTCGGGCTGATGCTCCTCCATGATGGATGATGGAATCATGGAACACGCAAGAAGCCGTCCCCCCACCAAACGAGGCCCCTCGCCCCTCCACTTTTTTTTTGGCTCTCCGCTTGCTACATCATCGTCTATCCACACGCGCTCCTGCAACAAAGCGCGTCACGTACCTAGCCGCCAACAATCGGCGCAAGCCACGGCACATTCTGGCCAGACCCAGTGTCGCCAAAATCTTCTCGCTCATTTTTCCGTGCCAAATTGCCCCACGATGTCGAGTGCATGTTTGCGGAAAACAGGCGTGGAAGCTTTGCTTGCTGGCGTGCTGGCTTGCTCGCCTGGGGAGCTCGTGACATTTCGTCTTCTTGCCGAGGACATGGCCCATCCAACCAACGCCTACGCCAAAACAAATACCGAAAGCTGGTCCGCCTGCCCGACTCTACCCACTTGTACCTAACTCTGACTTCATAACAAACCCTGGTGTCCGCTTTGATCGTTGATCTCCACGACCTTTGCAGTCTCTGCTCCCCTCTTCCCCTCTGGCCTACCTCCCACACACATTGGTTTCCGATACACAGCTTCATCTCCTCCCTCTTCATCAGGCTACCTTGAAACTGGAAGATTGTGTGAACAAATAGACAGTATGGCTAGCAACGGTAAAGGCGGTGCGGAAGCAGAGAGGATCAACACCGACATCATCACTCTTACTCGATTCCTCACTGAGGAGCAGGTAAAGCACAAGGAAGCCACGGGAGACTTTACGTATGCGAGACTCGAGACCAAGCCTCTCTTCTTCTGGCTGACGGCTATAGACTTCTTTGCCATGCCCTTCAATTCGCATTCAAAAGTATTGCCTACTACATCCGGAGAGCGACATTGATCAACGTACGCCTCTCTCCACTGCACTTCTGGCAACAGAGATGATCAGCTAACCTAGGCAGCTCACCGGTCTACAAGGCACATCAAATACCACAGGTGATGACCAGAAGAAGCTCGATGTCATCGGTGACGAGCTCTTCATCTCAGCCATGCGCTCCTCGGGTCGCGTGCGCTTGCTCATCTCAGAAGAGCAAGAAGAGGCCATCGTCTTCAACGAATTTCCCAATGCACGCTACGGCGTAGCGTGCGACCCAATTGACGGCTCCTCCAACCTCGATGCTGGTGTGTCTGTGGGCACCATCTTCGCGATTTACAAACTGTCCGAAGATGCAAAGGGCACAAAGGAAGATCTGCTAGTCCCCGGCACAGAAATGGTAGCTTCAGGATTCACCATGTACGGTGCATCAGCGCAGCTAGTCATCACAATGAAGGGCGGCAACGTCAACGGCTTCACACTGGACAATGCGTTCGGCGAGTTCATCCTCACACATCCCAACATGAGGTGTCCCGAGAAGCGCGCAATCTACTCGGTAAACGAGGGTAACTCCATGTACTGGGAAGAGCCTGTCAAGGAGTGGTGCAATAGCCTCAAAAACCCTGCTGAAGGCCAAAAGCCGTACAGTTCAAGATACATTGGTTCCATGGTAGCTGATGCCTACCGGACTCTGTTATATGGTGGTATTTTCGCGTACCCGGCGGACAAGAAGAGTCCAAAGGGAAAGCTCCGCATTCTGTACGAGTGCGCACCCATGGCTATGGTCTTCGAGAACGGTAGGTTTGATGCTCTGAATCTTTGCTGTTTGAAGTTGGACTAATTATGGTACAGCTGGCGGTCTCGCAGTCAACAGCAAGATGGATCGCATGTTGACAGTAAAGCCTGAACACATCCACGATCGATCTGGTATCTTTCTTGGATCGAAAGGAGAGGTGCAAAAAGTTATTGACGCGCATAAGAAATACCAGAAGTGAGTGGCTTCTGCTCCGGTGGGTAGTTAGCGGATTCCAAACGGGACGTGGGGCAGGACAGAAGTGAGCAAATACAAAGTCCAGCTTCGACATGAAAGGCCTTTTAAACGATTAATTATACAAAGCACTTTGCACGTAAAAACTTGGTCATCCAAATAACATGACACTCTACAGAATGCTTGCGATGACGTCTTTTGGTTGCGTGCGGAAACACCGTCCGTGCACACATCTCGAACATTGTAGAGCCGCATGTCCAAAGTAATCCCCCTCTCCAACAGCACCACAACCATGTCGCATACAATAATAACACGCGCAACACTTCGAATCAGCTCTCAAAACCCGCTTTATGCTTCTTCACGAGCCATTGGCACGCCATGCCGTCGCCTGTAAGTTCCTCTCTTATTCTCTCGGTGGTCTGATGCAGCTTTCACTTACAAACACTCCCCCAGCACCTCCATCCGCCCACGCACGCACGCTCTCAAACCCCAAACCACCACCCGCGCCTTCTGCCTAAGTCCGACCCTGCACAAGAAAGCCGGCAAAGCCAACAAAGCCCATGCACGCACCGAAGGCAGCAGCACACCACCCGTCAACAATACGGGTGCCATGACGCCGACCGACGAGGCCTACGATGTGTCTGGGCTGGAGACGGAAATCCTCAAGGCGATTGAGAAGCTGACGCATGATTTGAGTTTGTTGCGCAGTGGGGGCAAGATGAATCCGGAGGTTGTGGAGGCGTTGAAGGTGCAATTGGGGACGGTGTCGGAAGGCAAGGAGAGTGTGCGGCTGGGGGATATTGCGCAAGTTGTGCCGAGGGGGAGAGTGTTGAATATTGTTTGTGGGGAGGAGGGGGTATGTTTGGCTCTCCACCCATTCTAAGTCTACAAAGCAAGTCCAGAATGCTAATCAATTCATAGCACATCAAGCCAATATCCTCTGCCATTGCCTCGTCCCCGCACTCACTCACCCCGCTCGCCCCCGAGCCCTCCAACCCCCTTACCATACAAGTGCCCCTCCCGCCTCCCACGGGCGAGTCCCGCCGCGCAGCTGTGGAGGCGTCCATCAAGGCTGCAGAACGCGCGGACAAGTGGATACAGACTGCGCGACAGGAGCACAACAAGAAGTTGAGAAAATTCGAATTGAACAAGGAAGTGTTACCAGATGATTTGCAAAAGGCGAAGAAGAGGATGGAGGATGTGGTTAAGAAGGGGCATACGGAAGTGAAGAGGATTAGTGACGGGGCAAGGAGGGTGCTGGAGAGTATGTAGATGGGATAGGGGTGTGAAGAGAATGGTTGAGCTTCTGTATGCACTGCTAGACATGGGAAATGCCGTATGTGTGTATAGGTGTGTGGACGAGTCGCGAATATATGGCAGGCTATGCATGTAAAGCCTGGATCGAACATGTTCATTGGATGTTTTGGTTTGAATCATGCGATGCAAGACTGAGAACATGCTGCTTTTGGGGTCAACAGTGACTTGATCGAGCGTGCCTATGGTACCTGTAAACACTTGCCCACAAATGCACGTTCCCACGAGGGGTTCTTGAGGGGAACCGGGAGGCTTGAGTCAGATGCCGAGTTGGCCATGCAACGTTGGTGTTCAGATTGGATCGTATCCCTACATCTCACATGGGACTCCGTGGTCATTATCAAAGGGTAGTAAGCTCAGATTGTCGGCGACCTGGCACAGCACGTGACCCCCTTCTTTCTGCGACGTGCAGCTGTCATTGGGCCAATTTGCTATACCTACACTATAGCCACGACTACTATACGGCGATTTCCCTTTGCACGATGATCCCCTTTAGGCAGCATCATACCCATACTACAAAACGCTATGCCTTGCACCAGACGTGGGGAACACGGGGACCCAAAAGTCTGATCAACAATGACACTATCCAGATGTCATCTTTGCGGTCAGAAGCCACCGCTCACCACTTTGGCGGCTTACCGGCACATGATTGCTCTACAAGGCGATGTTCGCTTCCTTCGCCGTCACACAATGCTGAACACTTGCCACTCGACGGAGAAAGATCCTGCGAATCGGTTTGCCGTGGACTGACAGGGAAGCCAAGCTGACCCGTGGCTCGTATTTGCGCCTGGATTCCTAGTCCTGGTGTTCAAATATTGGCAAATGTTTTGGGGACCGTCGAGTCAGTAGAGTTTTCAGGAGTGTCGCATTTGCAAGCATCAGGCCTGGTGCTGAGCCACGGCTCGACGTGACCGACGATCAACATAGCACGATACATTGCCGCCGTTTGCGCGACTGCGCACCGAAGATGTCGAACCAAGGATGAGCGGTTGCGCTGCCATGGCCGTCTCACGTCAAGGTTGGTTACACTGCCAACTTTGCATCATTCGAGCTGGCTGCGAAGGTTCTTGCGACCCGCCTGCTGGTTGGTGGACAAAGGGGATCTTCACGGCGGTCAGCACGCAGCACGCAGCCTCGCCTTGCCCGGCAGACCGCCCAACGGACCGCGCCACGGGTCCAGCATCGTGGCACAGGGTATGATGCCGCGAATGAGGTTATCTATGAGCATGTATGTAAAGTGGAGCGCTGCCCCGGATTTTTAGGTGGCTTTGTGCATGTTGACAGCGGCTTCTTTGTCCTGGTCAACAAACGGCGTTCGTGCAACCCCGTTCCGAGCACTCGAGAGAAAAGGAGGCGAGATTGGAACAGGTCCCACCGAGTCGGACCGGATCTTGGTCCTGTTTTGGTATCCAACATCTTCAACTTCCCATCTGGATATGTGACCAAAGGGACTATGGCGCCTGTCAGCAGTCTGGTCCCATTCGGTCTTGAAAAGCGGTTTCCAAGGCCAGTCACGACACGAACCTCGCCACCGACAAGAGACAGTTTGAGCCCTGAGGGTGGCTTCCTCGAGGCATGGGCGCAAGGCTACAATGTGGGAAGCTTGATCATCCTCATCTTGATCGTGTTTTGTAATTATCGATCGGGCATATGGCTACACAAGCTCATTCTACTTGAAGTGAGCAGTTGAACAAAAGAGGTTTTGCGCATGACTGACGTCCAACAGCTCGTCCTTGCCCTGTGGCATGGCACATTCATCTTCATCGATGATCCATACTATGGCTGGTACCTTTCAGCAACTGCAACTCTCCTCTTCATCTCTTACTTTCTCCACAACGTTGTTTCCTGGCTGAAGATCCGCCCGTTTTTGCCCCGTTCAGGCTCCCGCTTCTTCATCATCTCACTCCTCTGTGTCCAGCCTTTCTGGGTCGCCGAAGCCTGGTCCAACTTTGAATACTTCAACTCTCTCGGATCCGAAGTCAACGTCCAAATGCGCCCGTGGGAAGCTTTGCTCCGCGACCCTTGGTGGATCTTCACCACCTGGAAGCTAATCGATGCCATCAAGAAGACGTATAATTTCAAGCTCAAGGCGCTGATCAAGATCAACCGACGATTCGGCGTCATGCTGCTCTGCATGTTCCTCTCCATCGTCTTCCTCCTAACAGACGTCGTCATCAGTGCTGCAAAAGTCTCGGCAAACAGCGGCATCAACCCTTACTGGCGCTTCGCCCTTGTCTTCAAATGTGCCTCCGACACCATTTTCCTCGACGACTTCAAGTCCGTCCTCGACGACATCGTCATGCGCAAATTCAGCTCCGGAGCCGGCACAGCCCGCCGCCACTCCCTCACTGCCAATCGTAGCGGGGTCTCGCGCTGTGCTTCGCGCGGCGAAGACTTTCTCGAATGCACCTTTCTCGAGGACCCCGTCATCAAGCCCGCCCAACCCTCACCTGACGACGCAACCTCGTCGAGCTCAAGGCGACAGAGACTGTTGAAGCCCTTTGCAGGCACCAAAACTAGCCGCCGCCTTGTACCGACGATCCAGGTCCAGCATGAGATTGCAGTTACCTCGCAGGACAGGACCGAGCGCCAGGATAGCCCCAGTAGCCAGAATCCAATGCTGCCGCGCCCGGTACGTGCAATGTATAGTCGAAATCAGAGGTCTAGCGATAGCGATGGGAGTTTGTTGAATGGGCGGATGGTTTGAACGGATGGCAGCATTTGTTCCTTTGCGAATCTGTTCGTTACTCGACCGGAAATGGCGTGTATTACAAAAGGTTACAGAGAGCGTGGTAGGTCTCACAGACTGCAAGACTACAGCACATGCTGTCTAGTCTGTATAGCTTCTCGAAGCGCTTACATGTCGCCGAGTACGACTGCACCGTCGGCCATATACCCGGCCAACGCGAGCTCCTAAGCTACGCACCTGCGCAATCCTGTCCCCGAGTCCTCATCGGCCACACTGGAGACGCTGGTCCATGACTAGATACATTTCTACATTACACACACCCAGCTATACTGCCAAGCAGTGCCTCACTCGCCGTCTACCGGCAACTATGTATGCTAGGCAGCATGAAGTACAAGGATATACGCCCCGAAGAATTTCCTGGTACCATTCAGCACCATCACAATCCAACGCTCTCTAATCGACGCCAACACCGCTTCCCCACACCACCACCACAATGGTTTCCCCTCCACACCCCACTACAGAAAAAAAACCAATATCCTGCATCGCTACCTCAACTTCAGCCCGCGTCAGCCCCCTCCCGGCTGTCACCTACCACAGCACAGCACCACTGCTGTGCTGGGAAACTTCACATACAGCCCTGGCTGTAAAAACAACTTGCGGTAGAGCTTTTCGCAGCGTTTGATTGTCTTCGTTATACACTGGTAATCTTGTGCGGGGGGTTGGAAGCGAGCAGATGGGGCGGCGGCGCGCTGGTGCATGGGGTGGAGGATATGGCGTGCGGGAGGACTGTGGGGGGAAGTTCAGTTGGAGAGGGGATTTCAGCATGGAGGATATAGTGGGGTTTTATGGGTAGGGGATGGGAGTGTGGTGGGGGTTGATCAGGAGGAGGAGGAGGAGGCGGTGGTGGTGATGGAAGTAGAAGTAGAAGTAGAATACATCAGCGGCCGATTTTATAAAAGATCGGTATTTTAGAGAAAGGCGAAGACTTTGGAGCAGATCATGAGTGCCAGGCTGTGCACAGAAGAACTTGAGCGGAAAAAGGAGGTGGGTAGGCTGTGTGGGGATGATAGTTTTGAGTCATGGATAGGTTTGGATGTTTGTGGATGTGGTAGGTGGTGTGAAGATGTGGTTTGTGGTTTCTGTTTGCTTTGTGCTCTAATTTGGGGGGCAGGGGAGAAGGTAATGTAATGTAGTATGTAGTATTTCTTCAAGGATGTTGGCGTTTTTTTTTGTTTCTATGGTATGTTATGGTATGGTAGGCTTTTGGTTGGGCTTGATTGACTTGTTCTGGTCTTGACTTGTCTCTTATTCTCCTCTGTCCCCCTCATTCTCTCCCCCCTCCATCCCATCCAATCTCTACCCCCTACACCGTCGTCTCACAAACTGCCTTGAACGCAAATTCCCTAATAGCAGTCTGGTTGTATACTCCTATGCCTTTCTCCAAACCCCTCGTTCTGACCCTCAAAGAGTTTCATCAAGGCGTTCGCAAGCGTGAGTCTAGAAAGAAAAGATCAGCGAGAACAGCGATGACGTCAAAGAATATAAATATTCAAAAGCGTATATACTGATAACCTCGTGCACTAGAGGTAAAAATGCGGAATAGTATGCTTTTTTGGGATTTTTATGCGTTGTTGTGTATAGAATGTTGGATTCGGTGTATCGAGGGGATTGGAGGTTGGTTGTGTGGAAGGTTGAAAGTGGGTTTACTGACTTTTTTTCTTGTACGTACTGGTAATAGGATGGGTGCGTGATTGGAGACTTATCGGGGTGCTCTGTGGGTGTGTATTCATCAGCAATGGATATGTCTTTCCGGTAAACGCTATCTGCGGAGGATATATCTGCCGTGCTGGCAATGAGTATGTGGAAAATAAGATGGTCGATATGCTTGAAGTTAATAGATCCACTACAAATCTGCATCTTCGCAGGATTCGTGACGAGAGGCAAGGTAATGCTTCACTTTGGATATTTGCGGCAGATGACGGCAATGTAGGAGTACCTACATATATAGCCAGTCCTCAAAACAACTTGGTTGTCTCGAATATATCAGGGTTTTAGAGTTTCGGGAGCATTGCATTGAGTTAGGGTCCGCATGTTGCATAATGTTGAGCGTTGATTCCTTGGTAGCGGGCTTAGGCTGGGATGGGTGAAAGGCGCGTTTTGATGTTCAAGATGAGCCATCCCAATGAATTTTTTTGAGATATGAGGCAACAACTAACATTTGCAGGACTTTTGTGCAGAATCCATGGAGGCCAGTTACTAGTAAGCAAGCCAGCCATAATGCCTGACATGATAAATATACGGTAAATCTTGTCCAGCTGAAACGAATCTGTAGGAGACTTGCAAGGCTAGGCTACACATGTATTAATCGTATCATGGGTGCATGTCATAAGAGATAAATGCCATCGAAGTCCTCCATTATCGGGCCGTCAGTGACATGCAGCTCTAAAGGACTTTTGAGAGCAAACCAATTAGCGCTTCGGTCCACATTTCTGGGTCATGAGCTGCGGCACAGCATTCCAGCGGTTCCGTATCATGAGGCCTGGCGCGAGAAACATGTCGAACGGCTCCTTCAGGATTCTATCCAATAGTGAAGACTTTGGTGAAGCGAGAGGAGCGGGTATGTGATGGAAGTTTCTTAGCGACATTGGCCATTTGTAATCCGCCCAATTTTTCCGCAATGGCGAGTTTGAGCTTGCTTGGAATAATCGGAACAGCTTGCTTGTCGTCCCAATATCTCTCTTGAATTTCAAGTGCAGAATCACATGTTTTTCCATAAATCACGCCAAATAACAGCGCGCCCATGCAAAGTGAACAGTCAATTTGGTGAGTTTAATTGTGCCCAAAAAGAGCCTGTTTCGAATTTCAGATCCAGCCAGGCGGAGCTCGCAGCTCGTTTTCGCGAATTGGTGAAGGAAGGGTTTGACCCGACACTCGCCATCCTTGTTTTGGATGGAGTCTAATCCTAATGCTCTTTCTCCTATTTTTCAAACTACCCTTTCTGATTCCTTGAGATCTGAATTGTCTCTGCGTATCCTTTGGTAGACTGTACAGTAATGCTGGCATTGCTGAAGTCTTCCACATACCCATCTCTTCGTCTGTGGCCTTTGAAGTCTTTACCATTGTCGCAATCAAGAAAACAAGGCTGAAGCAAAGTAGAGCAAGTGGAAATATCAGCCACTCGAGGTGCACCGCAATGAAGGTGGTTTGTGTATACGCTGTGCCTCGCACAAAGTCGTGGCTTGTGTGTGACCTAATGGTATTCGTCATAGATGTGGCCAATCGTTCGACGTACTTAGTGATGTTGTTAGGTGCCAACCATGAGCATCCGGCACCGAGGCGTAGGTGGTTGTAGTCCCATGCATATATCGCGATGCGCCACCACGAGACAGCTGTCGAATTTGCAACTGTGATCGTTGACGGGAACATGTCGTCAAAGAGCGCTTGAGCCTTTGAGTGAGTGCCATTTGAGGTCCCATAGTCCGGCGATCCAGCTTTCATCCATGGTGGTCGAATAGTAATATTTCCATGGAACTGAGTGAAAACTGATACTGAATCTTCTGAAACCTCGAGGTAGGCTTCCCGGGGATATGGTTGGTCACGAGCCGTTCTATTCATGAAAGTCCCAATCACAGTTTCCTCATACTTACCTTCCGCATATGAGGACTGAAAGGTTTTGACGCACCATGCAATGATGCACTCTTGGGCAACAGGACGTACGCTTCTATAGACACTGCTCGCGGTGCCATCAGGTGCGCTGACAATTAGAGCATCAAGGACCGGAGAATAGATATCCTGAAACTTCACCGATCCGTTAAAGAACGGGACAGATGAGAAGGGGAAAATCGAATTGAAAGGTGCGGTAAGTGATAGCGTTCGCAACAGCAAGGCCTCTCCCTCAGATGTGGCGTTAGAGACCTGATCGGTTCTATACCCGGACATGAGCATCGGTGCATCACTGGTGGCGTTCAACCAGTAGCCACACGAAGTCCCTGAATATCGTAATCAGCGCACACGTTTAGGTCAATGCTAGGATGAATATACCTGTTGGATAATGACTTGAATTGTATTTCACCGTCGATATCCAGTCCAGTTTTGTTTCCAGACAGGCATATGTAAGTAGTTCAGAGACATCGGCACAAGCGCTACAAAAGCCAAGAGAGTCATATGTATCCCATTCGCACCGACTGGACGGACAGGATAGCGGTATTTCTGGCCTTTTTCCGTTGCCAAAAGCCAACGGAGAGCTACCGTTGTAGTAGAAGTACATTTCCGTGGTCTGTTGAAGGTAGACATCTAGCCGACTAGCTGGTACTCCGTCTATATATAACTTTCCAATTTCGCTTTCATATTGTACGACTCGAGGTATTTCGCCATATCCTTGGATTACCCATCGTTCCGGTAAATCGATGACCTGTTGGAAGAACGTATCGGTCACTAATAGGAGAAGTGTCAAGACTGCACCAAGTGCAGCTAGCGACTTCCCTCGAGTCCGAAAGAGAAGCAAAAAAGAGCCCCATGCACCGCGAGACGCTTTGTCAAAAATTTCGAAGTCGACAATTTCCTTGGATTTGCTTCCACCAAACCATGCCCATTTTAGTTGTCCAATGGCTTCAGATATGGGAAGAATCAGAGCAGCAGATGCTACCTTTGACAAGGCATTGCTGATGGAAAGAGCTAGCGGAAATGTACTGAGGGGTTGGTCTCGAGAGTGCACACAGATGCCGATCATGGCGCCCTAGGTATAGAGAAATAAGATTTTATGTTACAGTGGAGTTCATTCGAATTGGAATTAGGGGTCGACTTAGTACGTACCATACATATTGCGCTTGCCACCCAACTCATAATCTCAAAGAACCAGCGCTTAATTATGTTCTGAGATGAATTATACTGCGCAAGTCTTCGCTCGAAACGTTGAGCGATGTCAAGCGTAGACTTCTCCTGGGACTTCTCCTGAAGTGGTGAAGTGATAAGAACGGTCCGATTGTCCCTAAAAATTTGGGTATGTGAAGCATCAAAATGGACAGGACCCATCACCGGCGCCATGTAGAATGTGAGGTGGTCGAAGAGAAAGACGATCGGTAGATAATGAAGAATTTCTTTTGACACCACTTGTAATCTGCCGTTCAGGACTGCAGCGCAAAGTCAAAAGTCGATGAATTTGAGGTGAATTGCGTCAGAACCCATGCATATATCTTTTGTGTGGACACAGTGCTGGTGCGGCTAATGACATAGAAATGTAATAGTCGTACTGCGAATTCGACTTGAGAGATACAGTATGCTGCTAATTATAAAATATGTGTTAGCGCCAGTGAAGGCGGTCATGGTCGCGATTGAAAGTTGGCGCTGCGGCACAGCAACTTGCCACGAATCGGCAAGGTGCCACCAACGCGGGATGAATCTAATTTTGAGCTCACGTGTCTTGTACCATCACAGTCTCTTCTCAGCTGCTATTGTGTTATTCGCCGTAAAGCATGTTCATATGGGACGGCACCGGTATAACCATTTGAACATTTCCGCGCATGATATTTTTGAGAATCATCGCGATAAATTATGGGGATTCGTTGGGCCCGGTACGGTAATCGTGGGGCAAGCCGAAAGCTGTGCTAAGATAAATTCATGTCCACCAAAGTTAACGTAGTTCGAGTACTTATGCGAATGGATGGAAGTCCAACGAGATTCAGAAGCTCAGGGCGATGGATCAATTCGTATATACGCAGACGTCCACAAACTGCGAGGAAACGAGGTGCTCTCTGTACATCATTGTTCACTGTTGTCCCGTTCGCGACCGATCATCCTTCTTGTCGGCACTGCTAGAAAAAAAGGGGAAGTTCTGCGACGATAAGTTAAAGAAATATCATATAACAATGATGGATTTTCCCTACTGTATGAAGGTGCGTGTGGTATGCTCCTACACACATGTTGGCTTTGGTGGTGGGCAGACTGAACATTGAGATTCCTGTTGCTGGGACATACCTACCGGTACAGGATACACATGAAACAACCACACAATCAATGCGTCAGTATTAGGCAGGTGTGTATTCCAAGCGCGCAGTCGACGATATGACTATGGATATTTAGTGACATAGCTCAAACGTAGTGCATCTATTGCTGTGCGATATGTGAACGGCGTGCATAGCGGTGCGAATCCTGCAATACTCCGCAAGCATGGTTGCAACAGAGCACATGAAGCTGTTGTTTTGTCCGCAACGGCTATGCATGTGGTAAGAGTGGTTGCATTGGCGCTGATAACCAACCTCATTGATCCATAAGCGCTTCATGGAGGAATGTGATTGGCTGCCCACCTCACCACTCTCTTTCAGGTTACATCAGCGATTGAACGCAAAATCGATCGGTATGATCTACGACGGGGTTTTCAAACCAATAGAGACAGGCAGTCCCATCGTTGGAGTATGGGTTCTATCTCGACAGCGAAGCGAACAGTCATGTCAGCTGAAATCGAGTGCATGGGCAAATGCCCACATGTCTCGCAACTTGTTAACTTCGTCAAGGATTGAAGTTCGCCACTGTATCCCCATATTTACGATCATCGTTCTCTTTAGCCTGAGCCTCACAGTCTTAGTGCCATAGACGACCCAAGTTTCACCGCGACTCTTCAATATCTCCAACAACATGTACAGTTGTACTATCCTTCTTCTGGGATCTATAATTCTCACCGTCTTTGCCGCCCCAGTACCTTTGGATGCTGTAGGTTGATGCTTTGAGTCCATCGCTAGCAGGACCTGAACTAACATTGATCTCAGGGTCTAGTAAAGAAAGACTTCGCTGTCAAGCCTCGAAGTGGCTTGTCGGTAACACACATGATCCAGGATCTCATGGAGCGTTCAACGGTCGTCAAGACTGCGCAGTCAAAAACAGATTACGATGTCGTGTCCGAAATCAACCATGAAGGAGAAGAAAAGGCAGAGTCAGAGTTCGATACGGTTAAGGTGCTGAATGAAAGAGGCATTATTCGCACCTTCGGGGGCAACAAGAGAGGAATAACGCGACCCTCCGGAGGCAGCAAGAGGGGGATAACACGACCCTCCGGAGGCAGCAAGAGGGGAATAACACGACCCTCCGGAGGCAGCAAGAGGGGAATAACACGACCCTCCGGAGGCAGCAAGAGAGATTTGACTGAATGAGCTTTCAGTCATCTATCCGGGTCATGGGTGGATATAAGCAATGATCAGTTCCAACATCTGGACCTTTTGGTTTCCTACTCTTCATGCCTCGCCTCATTTTTGGCGTGTGGGACACTATGATTATTGTCATTGTTATTTTCTCTCTTCGAGTTATATGAACGTATCTGTATTGGTTGCAATTGGATCCAGCCAGCACTACAGTACAAAATCAGTTTACAGTAGCTATATTTATCTAAAGTAGACTAAGAAGTGGTTTAGGTAGAAGAAGTAAACCTAAATAGGGTTTATTAAACTATATATTCTATAAAAGTAAACTACTTTTATTTCTACTTCTATTAATCTACTAGTATTACGTAGTAATAACTAGTTTCCTACTAACTATTTAAGTATTTTACCCCTCCTTTCTTCAATCTTCTTCACCACCTCCACCACCTCCACCACCTCTACCACCACCTCCACCACCACCTCTATTATTACCACCTCTACTACCTATACCACCACCTCTATCACCACCTCCTATTAGTAGAAATATCATGACTTATTATTATGTTACATATGCGTATAGCGTAAAGCTAATCTTCTCTACCCCTTTTAGTCTTAGTTAGGTATTATAGCATATAATAGAGATAAAACTACTTGTTATACTTAATTTAACCCCCTACTATAAGAGTAAACTACTACTTTAAACCTATTTACTAGTATAAACGTAGGCAGTTTACACCTATATAGTAAACCCCTAGGTCACTATTCTACTGTAAACAATTGTACCGTAGTGCAGGGGGATGAAGGTTCTCTACAGATAATGGTGTGAAAGGAGAAAATAAATCCCCAGAGACCCGCAGCCCATAATCAACTTGTGATATGACCGCCAATTCTTTGGTTTTGGGGCGTGGTGTACATTCCCCTATAGAGGGTGTCATCTTCTTTTAGACGCCGTCCGATAGCGCATACCATAAGGTCGCGACTGCCAACGTATTGTAGACACTCACAACGTCTATCTTTATACCTGATTGCGATACTATTGCTGCAAAAACTATTGAAGTCGTGATTCGAGTCCAAGAGCATTAATCTGTCTGTTGGACAATCTCACCACACTGCTGATTGTTCATGCCAGCCGCTCCATACATATACGTGAAATGGTCTGGCGCCAACAATAAATTGTGCGGAATTTTACAAGAAGATAGATCAGCTGGATAATTCTGGTACTTATATATTTGGGGGAGGGGTCAATGGCTGGGAAGTAGGACGGGAATATTCTTCAATATCTGCATAAAGTTGAGAGCCATTGTGTCGACATACATCATCTGCGAAACCTTAGTCCAACCTTCTTTATTTTGGGTGGGATGGAGCGATGACGATAGCATTCCCGTATGTAGTTGACTAAGCAACCTGGTCGTCAATGTGTGCTTCGAAATTTCCAGTGCACTAATACATGCCTTGGAACTGTGTAAGCTAGTCAAAATTGATCTCGTCTGTTGTGTCTAAACCTAAACCAATCAATGTGTGCTGGTTTGAGGTTGCATGCTTTGATGTCAGTGTTGGAAGCGGTATGGTTTCGTGATTTGACATCAGTTGATGATCGCGTCCCAAGGTACATGATCCATGCGTACGTGCACATCGCAATGCGGCTCGTTTGGTCCCGAAATATGCAAGATAGGTTTGACAAGGGAAAAATGGCCTATGGGGTATTACTCATGGTTGATTCGATTCTATGCTCGCATTGAGCGCTTAGCAGAGATACACCATTGGCTACGCTCTACCGGTACTCGAGCTGCCAATGCGCCATACCATGCGGGGGCTTCTTTCACATGGGCATGATCATCTTTTTCCGATAGTGGCAAGGTCATCATTCTAGTCGATGCAACAGGATATTAAGAGCAGGTAGATTAGTACAGAATAAGGGATGATCATAAAGGATTCACATTGCCAGAGAACGCGCTTCTCATGTCGCACGTGGTAATGACTGATCTTCCAGAACTGGGAAAGTCGAAAGATCGAAGAATATTGTGATCTATACAACACCAAATTCCATCCAATTCATCACCAGAATATCGAAGCCTCCCGATGATATCTTCAAGTAGTATTTGAACAAGAAGCGTAACGCCGAATGCGTCACGTGCGTGATGTGGTTGAGGGAGTGGTTGATTGGCGCAAGGTACCGATCGTCGACAGCCAATCGCTTCTTCTCGAAATCAAGGACCAAAACGTCGCCAAGCGGGTTTATGCCGCTAGTCTTTCGTCGATTGGTTGGAAATCATTCTCTAATTCCCAAGAACTAGATTTCCTTCAGCAACGGGAATCTCTCGTACCAGTCGTCACCTTACAGTATCGCCTTGTAAGAAGCCTTTCCAGCGCTTGCAATGTGACGACTTCGTGTGACGAGAACACTTTAAGATGCTTCATCAACTGTTCTTCTGTGTGCCGTCCCGCAGTATTGCCTAACGCCTTGTGTTCCAGCTGCGTCGTTCTTTCAAGTTTCAGCTTGCCGAATTAGGTGCCCGTCTATCATGCTCTCCTTATTCTCTTCCAATGATTATTCAACTTCGCATGATCGCATCAACGTGCGTGCATGACCCTTGTGAGCAGCGAGGTGATAGTGGCTTCAAAGGCGGCTACCAGAGTAAAAGTCACCACGGTCTGAAGCGCTGTGGATGGATAGCGGAGATGAGCTGGAGTGGTGTTTTTCGGCGTGCTGTGTTTGCGTTCGGTCCATGTCGATGGATGGATAAATGCATCGGTGCCTCCCAAGTTTGAGGTCGCATAGCATCGAGTGCCCATAAGCGTGTCGCTCTTCCAAAGCCAAAAGCTCACTTAGTTGTGTGCGCACGCAGTCTTGCACTAGCTTCCGACTGGACCCAACCTCCATCAGGGATATCAATACTCTTCAACATGTACGGCCGCACTATCCTTCTTATGGCGTCATTGGCCCTGCCTCTGATCGCTGCTCCTCTGTCTGGTAATACGGTACGTCGCGTTGTGTTCTATTGTTCAAAAAACGGATATGCTTATACCAAGTATAGCACTCGCCGTCGGCAGATGTTATCAACGAAGGCGCCATACCTGCAATGTTAGGCGATAGAATAAAGAGGGATCCTCTTGTCGAAGCGTTACCTCTAGAAAGTCGATTGAGTGAAGTTGCAGGAAGCAAGCGCGACACTTCACTGGACCAGAACGCGAATAGTGGCGAAGACAATAACACCCATGAAACAGACGATGTAGACAACCTAGGCAATGTGAACAACATTGAGGTCCGATCCGAACCCACCGACAGTCTCGAAGATCGCAAATTGGCTGGTGAAAGCAGGCAAAAGAGCAGGAGGGCTTTCCTTCCGGTGGTCGGCCACGATGGCAACAGGGAAAAAGACCCAAAGAGCAAGAGAACACGACGTGCTCTGGGAGACAGCCATGGGGGCAAAGGAGATCAAGCTCCCCGGAGCGGCAAGCGGGGCGACAGTATGTAAGGCGGAGTTCCTGGGAGCTGCCTGAGGGACAAGAAAGGTAGAAGAAGCTGTTGACAGTGTGGCCCGTATACTATTCCCTTTGTAATTCCTTCTCTCATCTCTTCTATTTACTGCAGTCCCAGCCATGATGGAAAGCTTTGCCAATACTTCGATGTCAACATAGGAAAATTGTAAATTCATTTCTTATATCCATCCTGGAGGGGCTTGATTGACCTTGGGCTTTGGGGTGAAGGGAGAGAAGAGATTACCAGACACTCTCCAGCCCTGGTTGGGTTGCAGTTTGACTTTGAGTTCTTTCGCCTTAGCTCTTGGGGTGCCCGTGCTCGATGATCGAGTAATTTTCTGTTGCATCTCATCTGGTAATCCATATAGAAGAGTCGCGTACGCTGACGTTTTCCAGACACCTACGCGATCGCGCTCTAAGGCAGACTTGGTGACTGTAGCAGCCAAAAAGACTAAGGAGACTAGTAGCAACCCAATGGGAAGAGTCAGCCACTCCCAGCGTACTGAAACATAATTTTCCTTGTTGTAAGCCTTGCCGTGGGTCATCTGTTTGCTCGTGGATGACCGCATAACGTTGGTCATTGCAGTGGCTAGTCTTTCCATATGTTTAGTCACGTTCGATTTTGAAGATACCATCCAAGGATTGAACAGAAGTTCGCGGAAACGTGCGCCAGCCGGGTAGTTCCAGTATCTTAACGTAGGCGTTGCGATAGAATTTTCTGCAACGTAGTATGATGGGAAAAAGTCGTCGAATATGTTGGCCACGGTCGAAACCGTCATATTATCAACTGCGTATACTTCATCATACACCGTTTGATTTGAACGATAAAAGCTTGTAGCAGGAGGTTCGATCCTAACATGTTGGGTATATAAGAGTTCAGTGCCAATGCTCACGCCATGTTCGTCGGTGACATCGTAACTTTCCCATGGGAATGGGCCACTCGTGGTATTCTGCACTGTAGCAACAACCTCTTCACTGTAGTTTCCCCATTCATAGGAAGATTTGATGGTTTGGACACACCATGACAATACACACTCTTCGATACGTGGAGCTTTTCTCTGGTAGACGCTTTCTGTCCCATTGATTGCTGAGACGACCAAAAAGTCTAAGATTGGGTTTCGTATATTTGAAAATTTGATCGATCCTGTCCCATACAGAGCGTCCTTATTCAGAAATCCAGTGAGTGGGAGTGTCCGTACTAGCAATGCTTCGCCGAACCCGGACCCATTATCATTCTTAGAAACTGTGTACCCTGACATAAGCATTGGTGCATCGCTAGTGGCGTTGGCGAAATATCCGCACACTGTTCCATTCGGAATGGTATCATCCGAGATGACGTCGATTGTGGTCAAACTCCAGTCAATTTGTGTTTCCATGCATGCAAATGTGAGAAGCTCCGATACGTCAATGCTCGTACACTTGCTACAAACAGCAAGAGTCTCATATTCTGGCCAAGTACAATTGCTCGTGGGGCACGAAAGTGGTATATCAGGACGCGTGCCATTGCCGAAAAGAACGGGCTGAGTACCGTTACCGAACAAGAATTCGTTCACGATCGGCCTGAGTGCTTCATCTTGTGCGGTTGCTTCGCGACCAAATTGTATCGTACTGATGTATGTTGGCTGGTATTCCACGATTCTAGGGATTGCGCTAGAAGTGCTCTGCAAAGCCCATCGATCTGGAAAATCCACAACTTGCTGGAAGAACGGGTCAAGAGCCAAAGAACAAAGCATGATCATCGCTCCTAGTGCAGCAAGAGCGCGACCTTTCGTACGTATGAGGAGTAGAAGAGAGCCCCATGGTCCTCGAGAAGCATTGTCGAAAATCTCAAAGTCCCACATTTGCTTGGAGTGCTCCAAGAACCAGCTCCATTTTAGCTGGCCCAGTGCCTCCGACACAGGGAGTATCAAGGCAGCACCTGCCATCTTGGATAAGATTGAAATGTAAGCATTGAGGGTGAGGCCAGTCTTCTCCGCCCAAGTCCACTTGGCGAGCGGCTGGTCTTTCAAGTGGACGAGAACGCCTATGATAGCGGCCATGCAGACCAAGCTAACAACCCAGCTTATTACTTCAAGCAACCACCTCTTCAATATGTTACCGGAAGCACTATACCTCCACAGGGTCTCTTCGATTCGCTGGGCAAAGTTGAAGCCTGATTGTTCCTGCTCATTAATAGGAGGCGAGATCTCAATCGAAGGTGGCTTGGGAGGTCCATTAAAAATTCCAAGACCTGGGTGGACATCATGAATAGGTGTCTTCTCGTTGATTTGTGGTACCTGCAGTGTAGCCACAGTATCAAGACAAACCCTAGGTCTTTGGCTTGGGAAGAAGCGAAGTGTCGGCCGGAGGGATTGAGGCTGCTGGATTTCCGGAAGTGGTTCTGGGATCGGCCAGACTAGTGAGCGCTGACTGCAGGTTTCGATAGTTGTTGTTGGACTTGGATCAGCAGGGCTGACTGGTGGCGCATTGAAGTGTGCTGGGCTCAAATGCATCGGTCGCGTCGATGCGAGGATCTCTGGCGTCGTAGGTGTTGTTGGCGTTGTACCATATGACTTTGTAATAGGTCTTTGGTCAGCCGTGTCTAGGAAGATAGGTATGTCTGGATAGGCAGGCCATTGGCCAGGACTGCGGAATGGGCGCGACATGTTTCCGACCCATCATACTACGTGACACAA